CACCAAAATGCAAAGTAACATGGCACAACCAGCCAGATTTGTTGAAAATTCTTCCAATCCACCAGTGAATTCAATGGTTGTGTTTCGGAGGGAAGTTGAGGTTAATGTAAGAAACTTGAGAAGTGGTTACCAACCATTGGATGAGAAATGGATTCAACCAAGATAAGATGCACCGAGATGCACCAAATTAATTCCTTTTTAAAACACAATTCATGGGAAGGCATAAGGTCAAAAGTGATCAACGGTCTAATTCCACCTCTCATAGTCTCATGCTTTTCACATCAATGTCAACTTCTCACACTATCCTTCGCCTATACAGGTTTGGGTTACTCTGAGAAGCTGAGGTTAACCTAGAAGTGGTTATCCGTTGGATGCATATTCGGATGAGATGCACCAGCATACGATGCAGCAAGATGCAATGGATCAATTCCCTTCTGAAGCGCATTTCATATGAGGGCATGGGATTAATAGAGATCAAGGGTTCGCATCCACTTCTCATGCTTCTCACCGTTAACTAAAGTACTCAACTTCTCACACGATCCTTTGCGTGTGAAGATAACTATGAAGATATCAAAGGGGAGGGGGTTTTCAAATATACCAGTCAAAGTATATATTTACCTGACCCAAAAAGAACATAGAATCCAGAAGTAACATCTATTTCTGATTGTTCCTCCCTAAAAAAAACAGTCATTTGTTAGTTACAAAGATGGACAAAAGACGAGCATGTTGTATGTAGCATATGAAAGGCTTGCATAACAGATGGATGCCATTTCTTCAATGTTGATTGACAAGCAATCGGAATTTCAAATGAAAACCAACAACAACTAACCATGTGTATCTGACAAGCACATGCTTTGGCCATATTTGTACATCCCAAAACTGCTTGCCGATATCAGGATGAAGCTCCACATCTGCATAAAACATATAGATGTAAAATTGGACTACATGATGAACTCATCAGATAACTAGCATCAAGTGCGAAAACTATTGGACATTGCACAAATATTTCACACTTAAACATGGAAATTAACATGCCATATTTTTTTAGAGTTCCCCACGTATAAAACATTCACATCATCAGTGTAAGAAATGGTTATATCAAACCAGTGAAAGATGACAGTGGAACATGATGTCTAGTTCTATATCATTTTCATAATTTTAATGTTCCTATATAATGTAAAAGGTTGACATATTTACTGATTCAGCAAATACTACCTTAAGAACATATTCATAACCAAATAAACAGCATACATTCAGATGAGGATATGTGTTTCTATGTTTAGTGTTGTAAGCCATTTGGACTCTTTATGGGAAGAGCCACGATTTGCAGTAAGCCAACCACAGAACAAGCAACTGAGTTAACTATATCTTTCCCAAAGACTCACATTACTATTAAGCAAGGGTTAAACCCCCTTCATTCTCAACATTGGGTTTCATCCATATATCCATCTGTTTATGTAACGTTTTAAGTTTTAGAAAACCCCAACTTTGTAAATCTATTCTTTTATATCGTAAATTTGAATATCCTCTGAGTTCTGATGTCTTCTAAAAGTTATTTGGTTTCTTTTTTACAGCAAGAACACAATAAGCAGTTTCTCTCTTATTCTCAGCCATTAGTATTTCGGACTCATAGATAGGCAATGGCTCTATTATATTAATATATCTGGTTCCTAGCTGGACAATGATGATATACATTCATATATTGCTGTATGTTTCTAAAGGATGTTAGTTCCATGACTTCCATCTATGTCACAAGTGGTCCGGTTTGTTAGTATTTGATGAAAAGAAGTTTACTCCAATAGTCACGGTCAAAACAAACAGCATATAAAAGTAAATCATTTACTAAGGTAACCAAAGAAATACTGACATGGTTCAGTACCAGATACAAGACCTATGACCCTCATAAAGCTGAGAAGCCTTGGCAGTACAGGGTTGCCCTTTTGGTGAAAGAGCTAATCATGACCTCCAACGTTACTCGAGCATATGTGCATCAATCCTCTTTTTGAAGGGGCACAAAAAGCATTAAAGTTACGAATTTCTATCAAGTAGAGATTATACATTTCAGCACAAGCAAACTAAGTACCCATGGCCTCCTTTGAGTAACCATAAAGATTAATGTAAAGAAAAAAAAAACAAATAACCAGAAGCTAAGTTACATGCAAATACCAATACTCACAAAAATCCTGACAGAAAACATAGACTAAAGCATCCAGAGTTACATGCCAATACCAATACTTAACCACTGAGATTTTACATTGATGTGTGACAAAAGGTCTATCATCTTAAAACCAATTGAAAAACAACAAGACAAAAGCAAAGACAGAAGAAAGCTTCTAAAATCAATGCCTATTATGTGGGTATTCTATGTTCTGGTCCTGAAAACAGAATGGGGGAAACAGCTTTTGTGCTGGGGACAAGTAGAATGAAGAAAACAGGCATCAGCAACAGAAGGTTAGTTTTCATGGGAGAAGAAGAAACCACAGCTATAGAAAGTCATGATCTAATTGGGATTCGTGAATTACCAACTCATACACTTCAATAGTCCAACACTAATCACTGGGATAACAATGTTGTTATACAAGCTAGTGGGTTTGTTGCGAAAACAGTGAATCCTCTAATATGACGTTACTGAAGGACATTGCCAGTTTGCTACTAAATACACTTATACAATATACTCCATGTAATGTGAATAGCAGTCATTCCTACATCATTGTTCGATGGTTCTGACCCCTGAATAAATACTATTTCATAATAATGCCAAGCAAAAGAAAATGAAACTTACAATGATGTGGCATGTCTTCAACCTTAGCAGTGACACCAAGAAAATCACTTCCTGAGTACCTCTGTACGAAATGCAAATTAAAACAAACATTAAAACACATAATCAGAGTATAATATATTATACTGCAAATCACATGTTTGAGATATTTGAAATGCAAAGAATGTTTTTCCATCCAGATGAATCTTACCAGATGTACATCAATCATTGGGACCTCGGAACTCTTACGATTTATCACAAGCAGCCATGGTATATAATACTTCTCTTTTCCCACTTGAAATGATCTGTATTTCATTCATCCGGAAGTTAGATTGGTTACAAGTTTATGAGGAATTTCGAACTAAAATTGCTGAATATTTCAACCAAAATGAATATAAATAACCCCATCATCTTCTGTGTACTCATTACACTAGTATGAAAGAAGAGGATTTAAACCAAGTAACCAACAATTGAAAACGTAAAAGAAAGAACATGTTTACAATTATTATTAACATAGTGTTATGAGAAACACATAAATCAATATAATACACAGGTTACGTAAAGAATCTTAGCAGGGAGAAACAACAGATTAGAAATCAGAATATTGCACTTGGACAAAAATTGGAGACAAAATAACGTAGAGATTGCTAAACCTAAAACTACAATACACGCCACCTCACTAACAGAAAATGGCTAAACCTCACTCCATTTTAGGTTGCTGCTAAATTTGGGCTATGCCAAGATAAATGGGTCTACTTATAAAGCATTATCAACATTCAGAGAAGTAGAGATGTTTTGGGTCATTGTACACACTTGTATGCATATTGTACTGATCGGATAACACCATATCCATCTTGTTGATGCTAGTAGAGCAACGTGTTCAATCACTATTTGGCTGGCATGTGAAGAAAGCTTTCTCTTGACTACATGAACGACAACATATATCTTCCAAGTCACTTACTTTATAACCAAAATGGAAGGCCGACGTTTTGCTCAAAACATTGGACCAATATTCAGTTTCACCTATATACACATGAAGTAGACAACTCAAGGCAACAAACCTTAATCCGAAACAATTAATATATGCCAAAATGTCAATCTATTAGAGACGGCAACCCTTGGATGGTATGCCAATATGTCAATCTATTCTTCATAAGGTCACAATCAATGAAAATATATGCACCAAGATATCAGTTGGAAAGGGAAAAGCTGAATTATCTCATTACGACTAACCACAACATTGAGTTTCATTAATAATTAACTATGGATGGCAATTTGAGAGATGCCTCCCTCTAAAGAGTTTGTGTTCATTTGTTCACCATACCAGCATGCTTATATTCTAACAAAACAAACTTTTGAAGGCTAGTCCTTCCGTCACATGCTGTCTATATACATGAGGCCCGTGTTATACCATATGTTTCAGTTTACTGTCAGTAATGCAAGCACACTAATTGATAATTGCATCAGCATTTCTCTATAACTTTTACGAGATTGCGCCCAAAAGCGAACAATAACTGTATATGAACTAACAGTTCTCTTGAAACCCTACTTCCACTCTAATCACCTCCTAATCAAAGCAAACCTTGCACAAATAAATAAAAGAATACAATATTTACACAACTTTGATTGCAAAGAAGTCTCACATTTTGTAAGGATCAGCTCCTGTGAAACCAGTTGGTTTAGCTATAGGAACCAATACCTACAAAATCAATCCAAATACATAATATAAATCTTAATACAACTAAACTGAAATCAATTCAAAAAAATCGAATCTAAAAACCCTAAATTTCTACAGAATTTGAAAATTACCTCACGATTTACACCAAAGATCGGGCAGTGGCGGCCAATCATATCATGCCAAACCGTTCGAGACTGCAAAATCAAACAGGATCTGTGATTTTGATTTGTGTTTTTATGTTGTAGAAGATGAAATTAAGGAGGAAAGAAGAGTATAGATACAGAGTGATATTGGCCCATTTTGCTCATGGGAACGATGTCTCCAGGCCTATAAGCAGCAGAATATGAAATCATGGATGATAATAATACGAATAACAACATATTGGAGATGCTGATTATGGTGAAGAAATTGCAGTTTCTCGCCATTTTCAATGGAAAAACCCCCTTTCGTTGAATTTGGTTTTATCAGAAGAGCTGTTTAGAGGAAGAAGAAGATCGTCCCTAATTTGATTGTGAAGATTGAAGTCATCTTATATATATACGAGTGAGATTGAAAAATTATCAGGTGATTGTAGTTTAGTGGTAAGAATTCTATCTTGTCGCGGTGCATACCTGGTTTCGAATCGCAGCAGATACACGTTTTTTAAACTTTTTTTGGAATTTTTTTCCCGGATAGTGTTTTTTAGTATGTTTTAACGATGAATGTTCAATTTTTTTACATTCACAAATGTTTTGATGTGAAGTTTCAAGTAAAATATGTTGGTCTCACCAAAAAGACTTGGTCTCACCGGAACTTAACTCCTACTTCATACATACTTTTAATGATATATATGCTTTTTGAAAGAAATAAAAAAGAGCAAAATCCATAAAAACTTTAATATACTTCTAAGTTCTAATGATATATAAATGATATCATATAACTAATTAGGACCAACTTTAGAATGAAAAATATGAGAAACTATGTAATCTTCTAATATATTAACAAAATGTTTATTTTTTATCTATATACAATTCCATTATTTTCGGGGGCTTGGTTGGAGGCAATTCAGCATCACGAATAGGAATGATAATAAAAATTGTTGTTTGATTTGATATCATAGTAATAGAATCAATCTTGCAGATTTATTAATTTTTAATCCTGACTAAATTGGGGAAATTGAAATTTTATTTTTACTTAGTTCTTTTCTACCATGTATTGTTCATCTTTTGATATTAAGTGAAACATCTTTTGTATTTTCAAGCTCACTAACTATTTTTTTAATATAAAACAATTTTTCATTGATTATAGTGGATTAACCAAGCAGCATCAATACGATGTTTATTTCTATTCTCATTTTCTTGCATTTCCATTTTTATTTCCATCTTCATTCCCTAAAATAAACCAAGCATACCCTTGCTTGTTTTATTTTGCTTGTTATTTTTTAAATGTACTTTTATATTTAGAACTAAAATAATTTTAAATGTTCAATAACCTACTATAGTAGGTCAACTGGCTAAAATTTTGTCAATAGCTCAATTTGAATGGCTCCTTTTAGTTTTACCATTTGATTTACCAATGACTTAATTTGAGCATTATCATCATTGCAAGTAGTATGTAAGGGTGCATGTGGTATGTAAGGGTGCATGTGTTGGGTTTTTGTGGGTATCCTCGGATCAAACTGACTCGAGGATTAACACGGATTTAACGAACCTTACTGGTTTGATAAATCACATAGGTTTAAAATCAAACTGATAAAACCAATGCGATCAGAAACACACTGTTTCGATCTTATTATGCGGAAGCGATAAAAGAAAAAAACCCTTTAAAAAACCTATTGATCTTTAATCGTTTCTAGTTTAATTCTAATGGGTTAAGTTCAGATCAATTTACCTGGACTGCTTAAGATTTAATCCACCGGTGATTGACCAACGAACGTTCTTCTAGTTGAACCGAACGAAACCCGAAAACGCAAAACTGGAATCCGAATGGGGAGGGGGTCGGCGCCGATTAGGAGAGAGAGAGAGGAGGAGAGAAACTGAATTTTTGTTTTTCTGAAAGCTTAATTACTTCTAACCCATAAGCCTTATTTATATGGGGAGAAAAAGCAGTTTGAATGGTATTCAGTTTCCATATGATGATTATCTCAAATCTTTTCCTTTTTAATTACTGGAAAAGAATTTGCCTATGATAATCTTTATATATATATATTCATCTAATATATATATATATATATATTACTTTATTAATTAACTATTATATATTTATTTTATCTAATAAATATATAACATCCTAATTAATTAATTAATAACCCTCCAACTTTGGTAATTCTTACTGAAATTACCCAATTGATTTATAATACACTATTATAAATCCTAACTCTCCATTTCTGGGTTTCATCTAACTTGTTCGACTTATAGGTCCTCACAGGTGTGACCCTCAAGTGTCTTGTAACATTGGATGTATAATCACTTGGTTTGTCAACTCTGCACATAATCCCTAACAGCATGTGGTGTGTAAATGTAGGGTTTTTGTGAGACCTCGGACCTAACTAGTACGAGTCATAATTCAGAAAAACAAACGGTTCAACTGATTGTCAAACCAAACTGGTTTCAACAGCGGAAGCAAACAAGTGTAAAAACCCAAAAGCACACTAATCGTTTATAGTTTATCTAAAGTCATATAATACGGTGTTAAAAACTTTACCTGAATTGCTTGAGTTAGATCCACCTGTAAAACTCCGAACCTTACGAACGGACCTTCTAGCCGGTAAAACTCCGAGCTCCCAAATGAAACCGAACTGGCTTTGGTTTTGTGGTTGTAATCGACAAAAGAGGGAGAGAGAGAGAGAGAGAGAGAGAGAGAGATAGGATTTTAGGTTTCCTTTTTGGTTGTGAGAATAATGAATGAATGAAAAAGGTTTAACCCTAACTGAATATTTATATAGATAAACAGTATATGTATTGTATTTAGTTTCCTTTTTCCTTAATAATTATCCATATATGAAAGTCTTTCTTTTTCTTTAAGAAAGATCAATTAAATTAATATTTCATATATATTAACTAATATATATTAATTCGTCAAGATAATTATTATTATATATATTTATTTTTCAACTAACAAATATATATATAAATCAATTAATTAAACCAGTTATATATTTATTCAACTAATAAATATATAATCCCCTTTTAATTAATAATAGAAACCTTTTACTTTGGAGTTTCTTACAGAAAACACCCAACAGATTTATAATTGACTATTATAAATCTAACCTCTCCAAACTGGGGTTATTTTACTTGTTCGTTTTACAGGTCCTCACAAGTGTGACCCTCAAGTGTCTTATAACATTGGATGTGTAATCTTTGGTTTGTCAACTTCTGCACATAATTAGTAACAGTAAATAGGATTGTATTCGTCTAGACAGGACAGGACTAAACGAGGCTAGAGTGATGTAGGGGGTTAAAGAATTTGGAAGGTTTTATTTTTACATGAGTAGTTTAATAAGTTATCTATCTTGTACCATTTCGAATTTTGTCCTACCCATTAAAAATTGCAATTTTGTCCCACTCATTCCTGTCGTATCCTACTCTAATTGTTGCGTCAAACATGAGATAACAAGTTCTTGTTTAGTCATTTTTTGTCTACCAAACACACCCTAATATTGCTCCATTTTCATTCTTGGAAGGCGTGCAAAGGCGTTTGATAGTTAGCAGAAATGGAAACATGTGTCCATGACCACCGCCCCCACCGCTGTCGTCGCCATCGAAGCCACCGCCACCACCGCTGTGGCCGCCGCGGCCACCGTTGTGGCCCCCGTCGCCACCGTCGTTGCCGTCAACGCCACCGCCACCACCGTCGTCGCCGTCGAGGCCACCGCCCTCGCTGTCGAGGCCCCCGCCACCGCCGTTGCCACCGAGGCCACCACCACCGCCGCCGCCAAGGATTGAAAAAATGAAAAGTGATGAAAAATGCTCAACTAAACGAGTTTTCTAATTTTCTAAAAATGGAAAATGAAAACTCCATCATTTCAAGTAAACAGGTTTTCTAAAATTTTCATAGAAAATTGAAAATGAAAACTCCACTCCAATTTTTGAAAACGTTTTCTATGAAAATGAAAACATTTTTCCACAACTAAACATAGCCTAGGAATCCAAATTTTATAATTCAAACTTATAAGTTTGAACCACATCCATTAACATTATTACATTAAAAATCCAAGTAAATCGTAATTTAGTAAAAAGATGAAGAAAAAAACTTTACACACACATGTAGAAACGGGTTAGTCAGGTCATTTTCGAGTTGATATGTTTGACCCTGACCTTACCCGTTTAGTTTTCTTGTCGTGTCGTGTCAGCCCGTTAACTTAAATGGGTTGAACTCTGTAATCCAAATCAGTTTATTTTTTATCGAGTTCGTGTCCGATTAGCGTAGCGTGTCAGTTTTTTCCAGGTTTGTTAAATTCCACGTAGAATTTCATTTATATCAAATATACTAACTAGTTTTGCTTTGAACATTGTAATTTGTTTGTTTGATTTGATTAAAATCCATGCGAGAGATAGAATGAATATTATTTGGCATCTAAATCTTGTGAAAATAACAAGCTAGGGAGATATAAAAAATTGGAAGAATTACACCTATATCTTTACAAACTTAAGTAATTACTCGTATATTTTTATAAACTTTCAAACTACATCTATATCGTTGCAAAACTTAAGTAATTACACCTATATCCTTATATCTATTTTATTAATTTTTAAACTATTTTAAAATCACTAATAAATATCTTTAATATAATTTAAATATTAAATCCTCAATCTACCCTTACTGTTGTAGATTAAACTTGGATTACATTCAACTAAGTTTAACAACTAATAGGACACAAAATAGTAACAATTTAGGGTATAAAATTAGAAGATTAATTACTGGATACAAATTAACACATTAATCTTCAATTGCCAGCATACTATTCCAAGGAAACAAACACCCAATTCCATGAAAGAAAACGAATTCGATAAGAAATTAATGGTGTAGCAAAAAGAGAGAAATTGTTAATTTCGGTTGCAAATATCGGTTATATATGAAAAAGGGCATGCGACTTTTGTTTGATTTTTTGTATGATTTTGTGCAGGATTATCAACCCTCAAGAACAGTAGAAGAAGTCGATATAGAAGGGTAGAAGAAGAACGGTAGGCACCAATAGAGAAGAAGAAGTCAGAAATGTTTGATTAATTGATTTCTGATTTTGATTTAGAAGAATAAGGGTACATTGGAGATTTAACATTTAAATGCTATTAAGAATATTTATTAATGATTTTAAAATAATTTAAAAATTAATAAAATAAATATAAGAGTATAGGTGTAATTACTTAAGTTTTGCAAGGATATAGATGTACTTTAGAAGTTTATAAGGATATATGTGTAATTACTTAAGTTTGTAAGGATATAGGAGCAATTCTCCCTAAAAAGTAAATCATTTGTTTATTTATGAAATACTTGAAACATACATTAATACAATAATAATACGATCAATTTATTTATTATAAAATAGCAAACAAAATGGAAATGGATGCAATAACCTATAGACAAAAAGGAACCGAAAAATCAGAAAAAGTAATTCAGGTTCATATATTGTTCTATATGCAAAATGGGAACTGCCA